GATGAATGTAACCACATAGCACTGATTAACTATAGATTGTTAGGTGTGGGTCATAACCATTCACCAATCTCTCCCAAGTGCCTTGCAAGGTCTTCATAGTGCTGGCAAATGAAAGCAAGACCTCAGTTCTCTTCTAGATTCTATTTTGTATGTTTTTCCCCCCTCATATCTGTTGCCTTCAATGCACATTTCTTGATTTTCATATCATTACTGTTCTTTAACTGTTAAGTTCCAAGTTTTCTATTCTGTGACTATTTTAAAGATATACTATTTATTTCAGAGTTACCATAAGTGGCATATTTATTACTCAATTTATGCTTTTATAAGTTCTTCTATATATAGCACTATGGAACACAGTGGGTTAAGGTTGGGTGTATTTAGCACAGGGCTTAAACGCTTTGCCCAAAACATCTTCTGTGACTGCTATTGTTGCCTTTCATGCTGCGTTGCCCACTTTCAGTGTCTGCAGATACAGAAGTTTTATTATATGTTGTAACTGGTTACTTTTAGTCCTTTCTGTGTGTAGCCATTAATCTGTTCTCAGCAAAGCTTTTATTTTTGGTTGTTGGTACAGAACAGTTCTCTGCATGACCTTGGACCAACCCAGTTTTTCGATTTCTTGCTCATTCTCAATGGAGAACAGGTTGAGAATGCAATAGCCTCGTAGGAAGCAACTGTCTGAAACAGCCTGGACCTTGTTCTTGTTTCTCTTAAGGAATATTAACATTTCCTGTCCCTCCCCCCATAAATTAAAAAAAAAAAAAAAAAGAAAGGCAAAGTGACAGAGAGAGGGAGAAAGGGAGGGAAAAAGAGGAGGAGAGGGGGATAGGGAGACAAAGAGGAGGGAGAGAGGATCAGACAATCTTCCATCTGCTGGTTCACTCCCTAAAAGACCACAATAGACATGGCTGAGCCAGGTTGAAGTCAAGAGCCAGAAACTCCATTCAGGTCTCCCAATCCTATGGCAGGGGTCCAAGTATTTGGGCCATCAGCTTCAGCCTCCCAGTTACTTTATCAGTAAACTGGATTGGAAGCAGAAGCAGGACTCAATCCCAGGCACTCTGATATGAGATGTGGGCATCCTTGATGGTGGCTTAGCCCAGTGCACTGAAGAACTGCTCAGGATGGACTGACCTTTATTCCGCTCTCTCCTGAAAGTAGGGTATCCTTCATTGCTTTTCCCAGTGTCAACTCAGATAGATGAGGGTACTTCCTAAAGGTCATGGAAAATGGACTGAAAAGATAAGTTTATTCTGGTGTAAAAAACTGAAATCCACATGTAGTTTTTTCATAATATGCATGAAGACTCCCAAATGCATGGATTTAAAAAATTTTTGGCACCAAATTAAACTTATTATGAATTTATTTGAGAGGAAGGGAGGGACAGAGGGAAAGAGTGTGCCCCGCTTCACTGGTTTAGTCCCCACATTCCCACAATGGCTGGGGTTGGGCCACATTGAAGCTGGGAGCCAGGAGCTTATTCAGGTCTCTGATGTGGGTGGGTATGCACCAGCGACTTGAGTCTTCACTGCTGTGCTCTATGGTATACACTGCTGCACTCAGGAACTGGAGCCAAAAACAGAACTCTGGTACTGTGATAGGGGATACAGGTATCTTAACTGGTGTTAACAATCACTAGGCCAAACACCCACCTCAAATATATCTTTTAACTCCACTTTTCCACAAACGTTTTGAAATACTTTAATATATCCTAGGGCAGCCTGGTTTTTGGAGTCTCTAAGGTGGGTGCAAAGTAGGCACACACAGTCAAAACTCCATCTGCCCTGGGAAACTTCCTTGTACCTTGAGAGCTGAGACCTCCCTGGTCCCTTGCTGCCTATGTGTAAGTAACAAACCCACTGTCCATAACTTAATGTGTTCCATTTCACTGGACACAGACATGTGGATGACATGTGTGTTGTGGATATAATCAATAGCTCAGGATGCAAAGAGCACAAGTATAAGGGTTCCTATTTCTGGTAGCTGACATTGTGGTGATATTTTCTATTCTCCATGGAATGAGAATCCTTTTTGGGGTTGGTAATTGGTGAAACTTCTCTGCAGTTGGCCTTCCAGAGGACAGGATCATAATAAACTGTATAAAGTGCACTTTGAATGCATGGATCTTACACCTCAAGCAAGGTATGTAGAGCACTCACGTTTCAGGAAGAAATATTAGAATTTCTGCTTATAGTTAGTTGCAAGTCTCATCCTTTTATTTCTTATTTTTAAATAAGGCTCAAAAGAACTCACTCATTGTTGGCAGCGTATTCTCGTCACATTCCTTTCTGCTCCGACGCTGACTCTAGGACCAGTCTGCTCATCTGCCACCTGTGAACCAGTCTAGCAATGTGACCAGCCCCGGGCTCACACTGGTCATTCTATTTTTCCAGCCTGTCTTTAGCCAGTTCTGCATTCTCTTTGCTTTGAAATATAAGTCTTTAAATTAAGAAAGACATCTTAAAGAAAAATGTCTGTTTATTAGATCCCTAAGTGATTAGGAACGGATAACTTCTATGGTATATACTGTCCTAAGGAGTATTCCCTTTAACATAGTAAAAAAAAAAAAAAGCCCTCAATCTTTATCCATGATGACTTCCTATTTCTAAACTCTTCACCATCCCCTTTCTGTGCAGATCATTAAAAAATTTACAAATATTGAGGAAATAGCAATTATGTTTATACAGCAAGAGAAAAAATCAAAATGTTTTAAGGTAAAAGATATGTTCAAAGACATATAGATCAAAAGTTTAAAAAATTGAATATGTACATATAAATAGACCAAAGTAGCAAAGGAATTTGCTCCTTATGAAGTTAGTTTCATATAAATGTTTCATAAAACAAATAATACATTTTATGTAAGTGACCATTGTTTTCCTGCATTTTATTGGCCAGAACTTGCTTAAATTCAGATATATCTTCACTATGCAGCAAAGTTCCCTAACTACTTCATTCCTTTTAACTTGAAATATAAAACATTTGCTGGGGCTAAGGACACCCATAAAGAATTCTAAGTTTTATACAAAGTTTCAAGCAAATGCCAGTGCTTGCTGGCATGATCTTGATGACTCTGAGACAGAGCATCTGTGGCTTTCTGCTTTTAACGTTGCTTGCAAGGCGCTGTGGTCTGCCGGGACATCTCTCATGGGGACTCTGTCTTGATTAACAGCATGACTATTCAGCCAGTTCCTTAATATAAAAATATTGACATCATCCTTACAGCCTCCTTCTTCATTACAATTTATATGCAATTACCTGTGGAATCTTGTAAACTGTACGTTTATAATGATTTTCAGTTCTCTCCCTTCCTCCTTACTGCATTTGCCACTACCCTAATTAAAACCTTATGGCCTTTCTGGGCTATAGCAATACTGTCTAATGGGTCTTCCTGCCACCCTTACCCATCCTCCTATCCTTCAATATTTCCTTTCTTTCTTCACATTGCCGTGAACCATGTTTTCTAAGATATGTGTCTATTTTTGGTATTCAACTATTTGAGTAAATCAATGCCTGTCTCTTACTTGCTGTAGAAAAACCTTCAAGTTTCTTCAAGGGCCACTCAAGTACTTTCACAATTATCCCTTCGAAACTCGGCCCCTTCACTATTCCTGGCCTCTGTGCCAAACCATGCACATTTCATCAACAGGCTCTTTCACTTTACCGCATTCCCCATGTCTTTCTCTTTCTGTTCCTGTCTCTACTACCTTTCCTCCACCTGTTTGTCTAATGGGTTCTCTTAAGACCTGGTTCAAGTTTTGTCTTTTTTGCAAGTATTCTTGAGAGGTCAGCTATTTCATACTTACACACTTCTTTATCAGATCTCAATGACAACATATAGCACACTCATATGAAGTTGAAAATATTGCTTTTTCTAAAATGAACAGTTTATTTTCAGATTTATTGGAATTTTATTTTTAATGAGATTTTCTGGTTGAATTAAAAGGTTCAGAAATCAATTTATTTTATTAGAACTATATTTTTGCTGATAAAATTATGAAATTATTATTGAAAAAATAATATGGAACACTTCTACAAAGCAAACATACTAAGGACATAAAATATTTCATCCACAAGAGTAAACTCACATCCATTCTGGAGTAATTGAATGCAGTGACTTTTGTTTTTAAAAACTCATAAGGTGAGATATATGTAAAAGGGAATTATATAATAGAGTTGCATGCCATAAAATAATGTGTAAGGTTGGAATAAAAAGAACAGAATAAACACATTTTCAATAGTTTTCTGACATTTTTCATTGAAACTGTCAAATGAATCAATCATGAGGTTTTTTAAAAACTAACCAAAGATAGTGTATTTTTACAAACTAATAGCTTTAAAATAGCTGAACAGAGACTTTGATACTGAATTCCTTAAAACAATAAGAAGTGATCAATAGAAATAAATTATTTTTGGGTCATTCAGAAATAGCTAAACCATCCCCAGGTCACATTGGTGTAATATAATCTGAAGAAGGCAGTTTTGTTCTAAAGTTTAAATTTTTATTTCTGCTAACATTTTCAGCAAATACCACTTAGAAAGTTGCTTAGAGTATAATTGTATATCTCCAAATAAAGTTACATTGTTTGAGTACGATCCAATCATTCCATAATATTTTTTAAAAATGTCACTTCACTAGCACTGGTTCTTTATGATCTCTGAATGATTACTTAGTCACACTATTGGCCTACCCAGAACTCCAGTTAAAGAAAAGCACCACTGAAGCTTCATGAATGTCACAGGCAAAGGCATTGCTGTGAGGGAGATCATGAGTGGACCGCAAGCATGGCGTTAGCATCCCAGCACAAGAGAAAATAATCAGATAGGAGATGCTGGTTTTGTTTCTTAACTGGCACTCAGATATGGAAAATATTTCTTAATTAAACAATCACAGTGAATTCAGAAAATGATAAATGAAAGCACTATGAGGAAACAAAAGCAGAATTACTCCAATCACAACATTAAAAATCAACGAAGCATAGGTAAAAGGCATATAAACTTACAGTTGTTGTATAAGCAGCTTCTGGGTCATCTTCCAGCACCCGGGAGAGACCAAAATCAGAAACTTTGCACACTAAGTTGCTGTTGACCAATATATTCCTTGCTGCTAGGTCTCGATGCACGTAACCCATGTCAGAAAGGTATTTCATGCCTGACGCAATGCCTCGGAGCATCCCGACCAGCTGGATGACTGTAAAGTGGCCATCATGTTTCTGCAAGAGAATAACAATTGTATAACTTCATTTGTTTAATTCACTATGTGTATGCATTAAATAAAACCACTGAATTCACTTTCCTAGTTCCAATAAAGGTAAGCTTCAAATCTGCCAACCATCCATGGTGTTCATAAAGGAATGTAAGAAGTCGTTTGACATTGAATGGAAAGGGAGAGTCAAGTCGGGAGCAAAGAAGAACTCAAAACAGAACAGAAGGAAACCAACCAAATTAACTTCCAGAAAAAAATCATTTCAAAAGCATTAGGGAACTAAAGTCAAATAAAGAGACAAGGCTATTGGGAAAACAGAATCTGCTTTCTACCCTTGTAAACTGTTAACCAGCCATAGTGGTGGTCAGAACTGGGGAATGACGAACTTGTGCGGCAACAGGAAATGGCCAGGTTCAGGAAAAAAAAAATAGTGGGATTTTTTTTTTTTTTTTTTGCTGTCAAGGGTCAATTGAATATTTACAACATCATTCACAGGCTATACAAAATTATTAACTTAAAAATTAACCTGCTATAGATTTATTGAGCTTCAAGTCCTGCCTGCAAGTGCCTTGGCAGGGCCAGATCAAATGATTTCATGGGCCCTTTAAGACCTGAGGGTCAGATGTTCCTCACCCATGAAAATTACAAGAGAAATCTAAAAAAACAAGCAAACAAAATGACCAGATTAAAAAAATTTTTTTTTCATCATATAGGGAAAATAAAAAATAATTTGGCAACTAATGGAAAACTGGACTCTTTTAGCTCCTGTTTGGGAGGACTGTATCAAATACTGTAACATACATAATGAGCCAAGCACTATTATTGATACATAATAGTCAATCCCATCTTATTTCTTCTACCCTAGTCTAAAAATAACATTTTTAAAATAAGTAAAATACATAGAATTGTCATCTGTGTAAGATGTATGCACCAACAAGACCAGCTACAAACAGTACCCTTGAAATTAGAGAGGATGAAAATAACAATATTTCAAGTCTGAAAAGTATGCATCGTATTCTACTAAGTTATTTGGAGACTGCTGTTTCTAATGGAGTATAGTGAAAGATGAAAATGCTCAAGCTGTTTTCATATAGCAGGAAAAGCTTATTTATGAATGAGTAAAAATGAGTATCTCAGCATAGACAGCAGGTCTTTATTACCATACATTGTATACATTAGGCGCAAATAAAAGCATCTTAATTTCTTTTAAATTTAAAGCTTTTCATGGAGGTCTGATTTAACACCATAGTGTAGCTTACACACAGGGACTATCTGATTGCACGTATCACAGTGACACAGTCTCTCAAAGCATAGAGATTCATTGGTCAGTTAACAAAGCAGCTTACACTACAAATGGAATAAACTTTGTCCTATAATATCAACCTATCTCTCCAATAGCTCTGTGATAATATCTCCCCATGCAAAGAAAGGAAAAGAACTTTCTCTTAAAAGAAACACGCTTACAGAAAGAGTATCCATTTAAGCAGGCTCTTCTGTATAATTAATGTGTAAAAGATAACCTAGCAAAGAAAATCTTTGGTGTTATTAGCTCTTTATGTTCCTAATCCATCTTCTTAGACAGTGCACTATTAGATGAGATCTACCTCTTCTATCATGTACCCTACCTCCCTCTATTAGGAATCTCAATACCCATGAGTAGAATTAAAGCATAAAAAAGGATTATGCTAAATTTTAAAAAGTGGCTCTTTTATCTATTAAAAATTGAAGCTGCCTCCATTTTATGTCAAGCAGGATTTCTTTTTGTTAAAGAAACTTTTTATTTCACAATAGTTTTAATTTTACAAAACAAAAATTACTAAGTAGTACACAGTTCCCATATACCCTACAGCTGGCTTCATTTATTATTAACATATTAAGTTAGTATATTTGTCACAATTAATGAAGCACATGCAGATTCCCTTATATTTTAAATCTAAACTACTTCTATACCTCCCACCCCTCCAAACCTCCTGGAATTATCATTCTGTGTTCATATAGTGTTTTAATTTTGTTTCCCATATATGGAGGAAAACATGTCTTTCTGTGTCTGCTTATTTCATTTAATTGGACGTCATCCAGATTCATTCATTTCGCTGCAATTGATGGATGAGATAGTAGAACATATTAATGAACCATTTGAAAATTCAAGAATGCCTCAGTTTCCTTATATGTACAATGGGATAGCAGTCATCTAACTCAGGTTGTAGGGAGAATCAAATCTAAAACATGCAGCACATTTCCTGGCTTACCCTTAATGATAGTTATGATTTCACATATCCTCATAATTTTTAGTTTTTGTAATTTTAGGATAAGTCAGAAAATTCTTCTTTGATACCCCTGAAAAATCAGCTGTCAACATAAGTTCCTTTATACGTAAAGAGGAACAATTACTTAGTACCAAAGTGAAATTTAATTTCGCACCTATATGAGGCTGGTACAAAGCAAAAAAATATTTTTAACAGCTTTCTTGAGAGATAATTCGCACACCATACAATTTGTCCTTTCAAAATATACAATTCAACTGTTTTCAGTGTGCTTGTAGAGTTGTTCAGTCATGACCAAGATAAATTTTAGAGCTACATAATTACTAGTAAGTACTTCCTGCTTTCCTCAATACATCCTGAGGTCCTACCCAAGCACCAATCTATTTTCTGTCTACGAATTCAACTATTCTGCATATTTTTTATAAACAGAATCATGCAATATGTGGTCTTTTGTGACTTCATTGATTTAACATAATATTGTCAAGGTCTATCTGCATTGTTGTATATACCAGTACTTTATTCTTATTATTGCCAAATAATTTTCTATTTTTGCGGTTTACTCTCTCATCAGTTGATGGATATTTGGTAACTTCCACTTTTTGGCTATTAGGCAGACTTTTAAAATTAGTTATTTTAAATAGTATTATCACTAGTGTTTGTGTGGATTAATTGCTTTCATATCAACCAAATTACAATCATGTTTCTAATAATGATAAGTGGTATCATTTAAAAATGATACTTTGTTATATGAAAAGAATCTAAGATACTTTCTCCATCTTCTCTCATAGGACTATATAGTTTGGCCAAAATGTTTTCAGGATACATGGGGTCAGGGGTCAAAACTATTTTCATAATAGCACGAAGATAGGAAGCTTTATTTTTTCACTAGTTTGATATATGCACTTATGGTACAAAGTTCTGATGGGTAAAATACAGGAGTGTTAACAAGATAAAGCAGAAGCACTGAGCCACACTGTATTAGTATTTTTACACATTTCAAAATAAGGATAGACAATGCATATGTCAAACCTAAAAACATTAATTTCATTACATTCTGATCCCTGATTACACTTTCAGGATTAACACCTGTGAGGAAGAGAAGCAAGCAGGATTGAACAGAAATTCAAAGACAGTGCGTTCAGCACAAAGGCCTCCATCCATTCTCTGTGATGTTCTGGATCTAGGTTAACCCTTCAACGCTGGTCTAAACTAAGGAAGAAGTGCCATGCCCATGTGCTCCCACATCAATCATTTATTGTATTTAGGCTGCCCTAGTAAAGGATCCACGGACAGAAGTATGAAAGCTTTTCCAACCAAGTGCAATTCCCAGAAAAGGTGACTCTGCTAAGACAGAAGTCTAGAAGCATTAGGAATAAAGGAGTAGATCCTCACATCTCTCCCAATAGAGTTCCTGCATGCAAATCTTTTTTATAACATGTTTCTTTTTTTTTTTTTGATAGGCAGAGTTAGACAGAGAGAGAGAGAGAGAGAGAGAAAGGTCTTCCTTCCGTTGGTTTACCCCCCAAATGGCCGCTATGGCAGGTGCAGGGCCCAAGCACCTGGGCCATCCTCTACTGCACTCCCGGGCCATAGCAGAGAGCTGGACTGGAAGAGGAGCAACCTGGACAGAATCCGGCACCCCAACTGGGGCTAGAACTGAGGTGCCAGCGCCGCAGGCGGAGGATTAGCCAAGTGAGCTGCAGCACCGGTCATAACATGTTTCACAGGAACCCCAATCCAAAACTGTTTATCTATATATCTATGTATCTATCTCCCTTTCTGCCTATCTTTTATTTATAAAATGTGGGTTTGATGAAATAGAAGCTCTTTCAAGTCTTTGGGAATGCATATCTTAGTTGCTGCCATCTTATTCTGCAGCAAAAAAAGTTAACATTCATTAAATACCACACAGCCACCACAGTCTAACCTCTTTACAGGTACTTTCTCAATTTAATCCAATGTGCAGTTATTGTCTCCATCATGTAGATGGTCAAATTGAAGGACAAAGAGATTTAATAATCTTGTAAGTTGTGGATTCAGGATTTGAACCCTGGCAATCTAATTGCTGTGTCTATGTTATTATCTATTGGCATATTATTGAAAATGAGCTGGCCCAAGATTTATCTCAGCATGGCTGGTTTGGGCAACAAAATTTGGCCCAATAAAACAAGTTCTAAAAGACCTCGAGGGCCATTAAACCAAAAATAAACAAAGAACAACTCTAACAAATGAGGATCCATTTATCTATGTCTGGCTGAAAAAATAATAGGTCCATTTATTCATACATGAGGTACAGCACAAATGTATTTCTCTACAAATGATCCAACTTCCTGCTTCAAACAAAATCTACATTACTTTTTCTAGTCTTTACTAACATATCCTCCTCTAGTTTTGTTTAGGATATACTGTTTTCCCTTGAATGTGGAAGATGGTTAATAATACATGCTGACTGAATTAAATAACCTTTGATATTATTTTGTAGTGCTGTGGTTGCTCTTGCTATATTATTCCTATTTTCTTGAATAAAATAGAATGTTTTCTTAAGGTAGGACATGGGTTTCATCCCTTTTATGTAGCAGTTCTATTACAGCATCCACTGTACTGCCATGCATTGTGTCAACGCTCGATAAATATTAATTCAAATTGAATTGAATTGTTTATGAGGGGAGAAGAAAAATGTGAGAGCACCAAGATTTAATATCTTTGGGCTTCCTACTGGAGATTAATCAAAAAGAAACTATGA